TAAATTTCTTTTTCAAATTAGTTAGATTAGCTATACAGATCCTTTCTCTTTTCAGCAGCTCTGTTATAGGCTAAACTCTTGAGGGTTTCATGTGACTGCATAGATGTTGGGTGGTGGTGGGTCTATCAATCTTTTAGATTTCGTTCCCTGAAAAAGAATGAACAAGTTTGGTATCTAACTATACTTTTTTTTGTCCTTCAAATCCAAAAGTTTGGCCTTGGGATGGAGTGATCCTCAATAGCTAACTAAAATAATGTAGCAGCATAAATGAATTCTAGCTAACTCATTGATGCAACTGGCATCCAACTAAATTTATTGCCAAAAAACACAGATATGAAATGAAGAAACAAATCAACGAAACCTTGGAGGACTGTGTGTGAAATTTGGTAAAAGTAGGTTTCTTTTCTGACTCGAAATTTTTGTTTTCAACTATCGATCCCGACATAACTTTTGAGCTGGTCTACACTTTTTTCGAAATTTGATTATGTGAAATGGACAATTTATAACATAAACTTGGGCCGTCCTGTTCTTATAAAGTAAATCACGCATGTGCCAAGCATGGTATGTGATGAAAAATCCAATCTGATCAACCGTAAAATTTAATACTCTTATCAACCAATTTGTTTAATAATATAGTATTTAATTAACTTCTTGTACATGCAGTTTATTTTAATAAGTTGCAGTGCAAGTGGCATGTTCTTGGCAACTTCATGTGTGCGTGATCAATGTCTCTATATGAGAAATGGGTTAAAACGATTTTTTGTATATGCTGTTGGATTAATTATATGAGTGGTGCCCTTCAGGTTCTTCGTGGATGATGTGCCAATCAGAGTGTTCAAGAACTGCAAAGACTTGGGAGTGAAATTTCCTTTCAACCAGCCAATGAAGATATACTCAAGCCTATGGAACGCCGATGATTGGGCTACCAGAGGTGGACTTGAGAAGACAGACTGGTCCAAGGCGCCCTTTATAGCTTCCTACAAGAGCTTCCACATAGATGGCTGTGAGGCCTCCGTGGAAGCGAAATTCTGTGCCACACAGGGTACCAGATGGTGGGACCAGAAGGAGTTCCAGGATCTTGATGCCTTGCAGTACAGGAGGCTCAGATGGGTACGCCAGAAATACACCATCTACAACTACTGCACTGATAGATCAAGATACCCTTCACTGCCACCAGAATGCAAGAGAGACAGAGACATATAAAGTATAGTGTTGGAGACCAAGCATGTTGAAGCTGGCTATATAATTGGATTAATGTTGATTGACGAAGCCCCACTAGCTCTTAATTTCCACACAGCTGCTTCCATCCTGTTTTTCATCTATAATTGAGAGCGTGATTTATGGCTCTTCTGTCATCATCAGTCAACACCTGCTAGGATTTCTACTGTTTTATCATTTTTTAAACATCAGTCTTACCGTTTGTATTACTCTACAAAACGTATCCACTGGATACATGTTTTCGTTATTACTCTCGGCTTGCCCGACTTCTGATGAAGTTGATAAAAATAATTGCTATTCTTTACTTTGCCTGTTTCCTTTGATCATGAGCTGTCCAAGGTTTGGTATTCTGACATGAATGATACTTCCACGTGTTCACATGCATGGATTTAAAGATGACCTGCTTGGTTCAGTCACTGTTTAAGGTCCTGATTTAAAAAAAAAACCTTTTCATCATTTTAATGTGGTAATTTTAAAAATATAAAAATATTAATTTTTAAAAAATTATTTGAATATATTTTTAAATAAAAATATATTTTTAAAAAAAACTACAAACATACTTTTATGTACGTTCTAAATATGCCCTCCATCCATAAAACACACATATATGCATTTTTCTTACTTGTCTCTATGTTTTTGAGAATGAAGAAACTGGTAAATCTTTTCTAAAAGAAAAATACTATCTCTGGACGTTACTGGACAATTTCTCAAGCAGATGAAACGATGTTCGATAACTTTCTTCTCTCTCAAATTCAATACAAAATTTGACACAAGTGAGTTTCTAGCTACCATGGTATTTTTTACTTCTACTATTAAGATGAGAGGCACTCGACATCGTATTTTTGTGTAAATTACCTTGAATATTTTATGGTTTGATTTTTTTTTATAAATTTAATCAGATTTTTTAATATTACACTTTACAACTTTGGTCAAAATAAATTTTAAAAATCAACCAAAAAATAATAATATCTTTATACACACACACATATTAAAGCAAGGCAATTCCTCTCTTCATGCTAACCTTCTCTCCTCTCTCACAAGCTTCACTAATTAAACCAAGCCCTTGAAAATTGAAGCAAACTTTCTCTCCTCAATTCTTGACCTCTGCCATTATCTTTGTTGGTTTGGCCAAGTCTTGTGTTATTCTAATCTGCCCTAAAATTTCTGCTAGCAGCCCTAACAGTCTTTCACTTCTCCACCTTTAAAGCACTAAACTATGTCCCAGGAATTGTCCACGAGGCTTGAAGACACTGTACATCCTGAAATAGATTGACGTAGGCGAGCAATATACCTTACCATTAGTTGTTCCTTTGTTTTTGCAAGATCGTTTTTAGAAACTAGCTGGTAAAACTTATTTGTGTAATTAATAGATTTGTGTAATCATTTATAGATTTACTCTCTTGTTTCAGCGTGTAGAGTCTCTGATATAGAGTTTGAGAGTAGCAATATATATATATATATATATATATATATATATATATTCTCTCATCTTCTTCTTTATCTTACCCAATTATTAATTATAACCTTCCCTTGTCTCTCTCACTACTTCCATAAGTAGATGCCCTACATTTTAATTTGATTGCAATCAACTTAAATCACATTTAGTCAGGTATATTCTTGTATTAAAAAAATACTCTCAATCTCATTCAACTACTTTATGAATTTTTCTACTTATAAAGTTCCTAAAACTCAGGAATTTTGATATAAAAACTTAAATCTCTAATCATATTATGTTCTCGTTGAAGAGGTGATCTCCTCTGAATCTATTTATGGTTATCAATACCAGCCAGGGAACCAGGTTCACTCTTCTATTCCTGATCATATTGCTCCTAATCTCATAGGTCACTATTCTCCAGCCCATAAGTGAGTTCTATGATTTTTCTTTATATGTATTTGATGACAAGCTCCTATACATTTTTTCTCTTGAAGGAGGCTTTTCATCCCTTTCTTTGTCATGCCGTACTCCTCAACCTCTTTCCATCATGGTTTGCTAGCGGCATTCAACAAGAAAAAAAGATTTTCTTTCACAGGATTGCAATACACAATAAGCAATAAGTCTGAGATGGTTGAGTTCTAATATTAACTGATGCAAACAAAAGTCAAAAACAACATCAAACAAGGAACACAAAATCTTGATGAGTGAAAGGGGATGCATATATGAAACATAAATTCAAAGTTTATTCTCTTTAAAATAACAATATTAAAGTTCTCTTTTAATACTTTTTTAAATTATTAAATATGTCAAAAACTCCACCTCAACTAGAAAATAAAAACAAAAATTCAAAATTATAAAGAAAATAAATAGAAAAACCAAAGAAATAGAAAATCCAAATATATCTAAAGATCTAATAATCTATATAGCGATAAAAAAAATAACTTTCAAAAAATTTATAAAAATTTAAAAACAATTCAACAATCAAATAAAAAATTATAATATTTTTGAGCTATCAATCTTGTATGAAATGATTAAATTTTCTCTTGAGTTTAGATATATTCTGTTAATTAATAAATATAAGATCATTTATATAATATATTTTAAACAAATCCTCGTCTAAATATAATAGACATATCCTTATATATTTTAAACAAATCCGCATCTAAATATAATATACCTATGCTTGCCTATTCAAAATTATTTATTATAAAAAACTCTTCTCCTTTATATGAGATTTCGCGATGTATTAAACACAGAGTTACCCGTGACTTCATATTCTTGCCTGATGGTTCGTTCCCCAACGAATTACTATGCTATATATAAATTGCTTCTATAGTCCTTTGGGTTCTGTTCTCCTTTTTTAAGAATAGAATGCTAAACTTTTCATTACCTTTGAAACGATGAATACATTTATAATGGATTAAAAATAACAGAAGGGCTCAAGGTCAGCTGATCACAATTAAAAATATTTAAACTTTTAATATATGAATCTGATCACTAGCAATACTTCGTCAATTAACTTTTCATCAACTCTTGCATGATCATTATTAAAATAATTATACTTGTTTGAAATTATAGTTATGTTTATTTTTAAATATTTTTTTACTAAAATATATTAAAATAATATTTTTTATTTTTAAAAAGTTATTTATAAGATTAATGTTTCAAAACAATTCAAAATATATATAAAAATTAAATATTTTTAAAAATATAGGTATAACTACATTTCCAAACACCTAACAAATCTAGGCCTAACTCATGATCATCTTCAATAAGAAATATGAATTTAAAGCTTTTTTTTATGAAAAAAAAGATGGAAAATTGCGTTGGCATTTGGCAGCACCCTTCATTTCTTGAAGGTCTGTTTTTCAGTATTACAAATATAATTTACTTGGTATAGGTAAGGATAAAATTAATGCAATCGATTGTAAAATTGTAAAATGATGATTACTCATAATTTTTTAATTAACATTTTCCTTCTATCATAGGTGATGTAAGTAAGAATATCAAGGTTTCCATGGAATTGATTAAGCTATTTTGTGATATATATATATATATATATATATATGTATATGTATATATATTTTACATTTCACACAAGTCGAAGCCATTTGAAATTTCTCAATGGTCTTCATTTTTTATTGGGCCACTACAGCCCACATTTACAAGTAATTTGAAACTGGGATTAATTGTTAAATAATTATATGGGCCAGCACAAGAGGTCCATCACTTCAGATTAAAAACTAGGCCCATCAACAAACCTAAAAGCCGGGTAGAAAAAAAAAAAACCCCAGACGCCAATTAGGGCATCAAAAAATGAGAGTACCATATAAAAGCCAGAAAATGTAGGCTGCTAACTTCTCCCTTTGCAGTGATATTAGCAGCAGCAGCAAGGATGCCGGCTGGACACGGTGTGCGATCAAGGACCAGAGATCTCTTCGCTCGTCCCTTCAGGAAGAAGGGTTACATCCCCCTCTCTACTTATCTCAGAACATACAAGGTAGGCGACTATGTCGACATCAAGGTAAACGGTGCGGTTCACAAAGGCATGCCCCACAAGTTCTACCATGGCCGCACCGGTCGCGTCTGGAATGTCACCAAGCGCGCTATTGGTGTCGTCATCAACAAGCAGGCACGAGATCTATCAATATAATTAACTTTTTATGTAGTTTTTCATTCTTCATTTACGATTTTGGAAAACTAAAAGTCAAAACTTTTGTAGGTTGGGAATAGGATTATTGGGAAGAAAATTCATGTTAGGGTGGAGCATGCGCAGCCGTCGAGGTGCAGGGAGGAGTTTAAGTTGAGGAAGAAGAAGAATGATGAGTTGAAGGCTGAGGCCAAAGCTTGTGGTGAAAAGATTAGCACTAAGAGGCAGCCTCAAGGACCTAAGCCTGGATTTATGTTGGAGGGTGCTACTCTTGAAACTGTCACTCCTATTCCTTATGATGTGGTCAATGATCTCAAGGGTGGTTATTGATTTTTCTTATTTATGATTTCCTATGCTTTCATTTTTATCAAGAATTTCTCGTGTTTTGTGAGACGTGGATGAACTTGTACTTTTGTTATGTGTAATTTAGCTTCATACAAAGTAGACTACTATTATTTAGCATTATCCTTTCGTGTGAGATATGTATGTCTTTCCTTTGGTTCTGATGAAATTGACTACGTATCAATCTGAATAGATTAATTTGGGGGTTTCAGTCTGATTTTCTTTTAATGAATTTGCATTTTCCATGTTGCTGGCACATCTGAATTGTTGCTGTTTCTGCTGCTGTGAGTGTTTGCTAGGGCAAATGATGCATTTGGGTGTAGCAATTGGTTTGCCATTCTTATTGGCTTGTTGAGGAATTAGTTTGGACATGTAGTTGAATGGGTTCTGTGGGTCATTGTGCTTGTTATTGCTTCCGATAGATTTGAAAATATTATACGCTTATATGCTTTGCTTGAGAATGTCCTCAATGTCTTTGGAAATGTAGCAATTGGTTGTGATCGCTGTTCGTGAGTTTGAGGTTTGTTCTGATACCATTTTGGATTTTCATCTTCCTTAAAGACCATTTTTTTTCTGGTTGCCATCAATTGAGCTTTGAACCACGGTTACCAACGTGGAGGCTCTACTTTCAGGTGTATTTATGTGACTGATTACTGGAAATGTAAATTATCTACACTTTTTAAGTCTTGCTCTGGAGGTGTTGATATTGGAATTTGTTGATGCTTAGCCTTCTTGGTTTTTCTGACACCTCCTCCTCCTCTTCGTCCTCCAAAATTAACACTCCGTTATTGACTCTCAGTATTCCAGTGAATAAAACGATGAATCCCAGCATTATGGGACAGCGATGCTATCTGTATTATTTGTTTGGTTACGTCATGAGATGTGGATTTTAATGATGGAACTTTTTCATAATCCGCTTCTTTTTATGTTTTACATTTGATTCATTTCTCATGTGGTAAATTTGGGGTTAAGCTGAGATTTTTCTGAGTTGTAAATGCATGAAAAGTGTCTGCATAACAATGTGTTTTCTCAGTAGAACAAGAGCATCATGTGACAGTAACATTGCATTTTCATCACATTCATCACAAGGTACTTATTTCCTTGCATGTGGCATGTCATGAAAAAGTTTGAAGGCGTACTGCGATAATGATCATTGAGGGGAGAACATACGTTCTGATGCTCGAGATCAAGGATTTTAGGTACATTGTCATTGATCAAGGCTCGGATTGAGTGGGACTGATATAACGTGCCTTTCAGAAAAGTATATGTTGTCGAGAATTGCATTTTTTTTACCTGATACGACTAAAATACTTGGAAACATCTTCTCTCTCTCTCTCTTCAATCCAACCCCTTCTGTTTTTTTTTTCAATCTTATCCTCTTCTTTTTTTTTAATATTTTAAACTGAGTTGTTTTTAGTTCTATTAAATTGGATATATCAAATCTAATTAATTTTTTCTATTATTTTTATTTTTTAATTTCATCATTGTATTTATTTTATAGGTACCTCTAGACTGCCAAGTTTTGATATAAATAACAAGTTTGGTTGTATTTTTTTTAATGTTTTTTTATTAATCAAACCAGTCGTTTTTCGATTGGGAAGTCAACTAAATGAATCAACTTTTCTAGACAATCAGAATATTTTAAGATTAGCCCATTAGATGGGTTTAATAATAATAATAATAATAAATATTTGTGATTAAATCTGTAACATAGTGCTAAACAAGAATGAATCCGGTACATGTCATTGTCATTATAGAGAAGCACAATCATACGGGCCTCTGGCCCTGCGGGTTAGCTTTTGACATATATTTAACTTAATTTTATAGTGATTAAAATAAATATGGATAAAAGTTTTAAAAGAACCCTCCTCTATCCTAAATTACTATAGTAAAATTTTAGTATTTTGAGTTTTTTAAGTTCGTTGACGTCTATTTAAAAAATATTAGATAGCGTATTGACATTCCAATTCTAGTAGAACTTTCAATAAAGAAAAAATCATGGGGTTAAAAACCTTAGGCTATGTTTTTTATATTTACTTTGGTCCTCATTTTTATAATTGTTATTTGCTTTTCTCCTATTATTTTTTTATTGAAATTTTTTTCTATCAAATTTGGTCCTCGTTCTTTTGATTGTTATTTATTTTATTTGAAATACTTTATGAAATGTTAATTATTATTATTTTACTTTCTTCATTTTTTTTTAAGATTTGATCTTTATTGTTTTGATTATTATTTATTTTATTTGAGATAATTTATGAATTTTTTTTTCAATTTTATTATTATTCAACTTTTTAATTTGTAAGATTTATTCCTTATTATTTTAATAAACTTGAGAAAAATAAAATATTAATAAATTATTTTCCAGTTCATTTTCCATAACATAACCAAATACTGGAAAGTGTTTTCCAGTTTATTTTCCATAACACTGCCAAATATCGAAAAATACTTACCTTTTAAGAAATTCATTTTCCCCGGAATTCACTTTCCCCATAATTCACTTTCCAAAAGGAAACAACTTTCCTGCAAACAAACGGGGCCTTAGTAAGAAAATGGTTTCCATCTTAGTTTTTTTTTTTTAGATTTCCAAACAGAAAAAAATATTGTTCAAAGTAATGAAATTTAAATGTTGTTATTTGTGATTTTGAAACTGATTTAAAAAAAATAAGTAAAAGATTTCTAATGTTTATCCTTTCTTTCTATAACGTGATATTATTTAGTTTTTCTAAAGATTATAATAGATAATATTTATACTATTTATTAATTAAGACTAAAATACAATTTTCTTATACGTCTTTATTAAAAAAGAAATTTAAATTGATAAAAACTGAAGGAAAAAATTATAAGCTTTAATTATGTTTATTCCAATCCCGATATTATCTTTAACATTGTGATTTTACACACTCACACAAATAAAAAAATAATTAGCTCAAGTTGAAAAAGATTTATACACTAAAACGCGTGGGCTTAATTAATGGTCAAGGTCAGACTTCCCTGGGTGCTAAAAAACAATTAGCAAGAGGTGGTATCAGGATTTTCCACCATGTACAAAATCATCCTAGAAGTGAGAGTGAGGCTAGAAGCACAACACTTTGAATTTAGATTCACTAAGATTGTACAGAAGTAGAAGAATAAGTAAACTTAAACAAATTGGAGTTTAGTGTTTCACAATGAACAAGAACAACAATCGAGCCTCAATCCCAAGCTAGTTGGGGTTAGAGGATGGATATTTTTATGTCATGTCATGTCATGCGATCATATATGAAAAACTCCAACGTCAAGAGATTTTAAATCCTTTCATATCATTAGAAAAAAAAGTATCTACTTTGGTTTAGGTATTTTTTCGAGTTCATATAGTTAAGGTGATATAAAGCATTAGTCTTTCTAGCCTTTTCATTTCACACATTGTTTCTAAGCTTGGCTACCAAACATTTTATTGCTATGCTCCTCAGCGTGGGACGATGGGCTACTATGCTTATGGAGTTTTGTTCTCTCCATTTCTTTATTGATTAAATCTCCTGTATTCGTCAAAAAATTGATCTATAAGCCCTCAGTATAGTAGAGGTAAGTTGCTTAAAAAGAAAAAAAGGTATAGTATTGGTGATGATTCAATATTTTTATTAAGTGAAAAATCTTAAAACCATAACAAGATGATAACCCAAGTGACCATAAGTCTGGCCAAATTCAATATACTTGGGTTTGGCCATGTGCTAAGCCCAAATGAATGTTGGCTTGGCGAACTGTAGACTCGATATAATTAAGTTTGGTTACGTGCGAAGCCTAAGTGAATGTGGGTTTAACGAGTTTTTAAGCTCAACATATTTGGGTTCGGCAATATATTGAGCCAAACCCAACATGTTTAGGTTTAACCAGGTGTTAAGCCTGAATAAATGAAGGTTTGATGAACTGTCAAATCTAATATACTTGGATTTAGCCATATGCGAAGCCTAAAAAAATGAGAGTTTGTCGAGTTGCCAGACTTATCTCCCCCAGGCTTGGTTACACGTCAAACCCCATTGATACGAAGGTCATTATAAATCTATGTTAGGACCATAAGACTTTATTTATTTATTTTTAAAATTGCTAACATGAACTATTCATGTAAAAAATAATCCTCTTCTCACATCTATAAATGTATAAAAGGTCTTCTAAGGGCCTACCGTATTCTTATTTCATTAATGATCTGCAGGGGATATTTTTCTCTCATTAATAATATATAAGGAATTTTTATCTCTCATTGATGTAATCAAGATAAAATGACTCCAACCCCTTTATTCTATCAAAATGACAAGGTTCAAGATTATAAGTACTCCCTGAGCCATCTAAATAAAAAGTTCATAAATTTCTACTCTCAAGCATTCATATCTTAATTATTAGAACATTTATCATATCAAAACAATAACAGACACCTTTGTTCTCGAAATTTAAAACTCTTTATTTGATTTATCAAAATCCTTTATCTAACAGTTATTGACTTCATCATTATAGGGTTTCTAAATACCATCAAAATAGATTGTTTTATAGGTGTTATGACTCTTACCATTAATTGTAAGCTCATTAGGCTATTAAGAGGAAATATTGATACGAGCATATGATTAATCCTTTGCAAACATCAAATGACCTCATTTTTAACCATATCAGATTCTAGGACATCATTAATTAGTACATCGATGGGGAACTATCAAAAAGACATTAAATGCTCCATATGTTTATTAATATCCCTAATAATAATCAATGGTAAACAATCAAGGCACTCCTCAAATAGAATATGTAACATACCTCCCTGCCACAATATACACTTTTGCCTAACCAACCCTTTAATAGTTTGTCAACAAAGTTCAACTCCTAACCTAAGTTATATTAGCAACTCAAAGGCCGAATCATACTTTACACCTTAAAAAGTCTTAACAAATGTGACAACACCCTCATATACACCTCTATATCAACAGGTTATATCCAGGGTTTGTAAACAATTAACACTACCTAAATGAGTACAGGTAGAATGAAACAATGAGGGCTTTCAGCCTCATCGCTCATAAAACCCTTCCAATAAGTGTGAACATCATCATGATGCTCATGCATATAATGAGTATTTTAAACACACATTTGCCCATTGTAAGATGAAGGCTAGCTATCGATCTCATTATTCCATACCAAAAACCTATAAACATAGTAATGGAAAACAACTTGTAGAAGAGTATATACATGAAAATGTCC